AAACCCTAAACCCTCAAAACCTAGAGCCCTAAACCCTAGAGCCCTAAACCCTCAACCCTAGAAACTTAGAGCCCTAAACCCTAAAACCCCAAACCATAAACCCTAAACCCTCAAAACCTAGAGCCCTAAACCCTAGAGCCCTAAACCCTCAACCCTAGAAACCTAGAGCCCTAAACCCTAAAACCCCAAACCATAAACCCTAAACCCTCAAAACCTAGAGCCCTAAACCCTAGAGCCCTAAAACCTCTGCAGAAAGGATCAGAGGAACCTGGAGCCCGACGTCGACGACGACTGCCACTCCTACTGCTACGACGAAGTCTAAGTAATGTAGGGGCTTTGGGTTTAGGGTTTAGGGTTTAGGGTTTAGGGTCTAGGGTTTAAGATGTAGGGGCCTTCATACTTCGAACAGGGTTCTTTTAAGGGTTCCTTTAAGAGGGTTACTATAAAGGGTGCTATAAGGATTTTAAGGTAGGGGCCTTGATAATTAGAGTAGGGTTCTGGTGTATGTGATACTATGGTGTATAATAACTAAACCCCAAAACAGTATAGGTTATTATTCAGGGCCTTGTATTACTACTGTACTCTGAGACCCTACACTCACATCGCTGGTCTTGGTTTGGCCTTGCTGACCCGAAGTCGGCCAGCTTCAGCTGACCACTGGTGCCGTCCTTGAAAACATAGGGCGGTTTTCAGCTGTTGGGTGTGGATGCTCCAAGTTTAGGGCGTGTGGGTTTTTGAGGTTTTGGGGTTTAGCTTTCAACTAAATCCCTAAACCCTAAACCCTATACTCAGATATTGAGGGCGTAAGTGTCAGCCTGGGCCAAAGAAGTAAGGCTTTCAGAAGGCTTGGGGATAAGGCCAAGGACTCCTGGGAGCAGGGGCCTTAGAGCTTCGAATTCTTCAGAATTTTCTGACTACTTCGGGCTTAGGATTCAGAGTTCAGGGTTTAGGGTTTAGGTAGGTGGAGGACGAACACATCAGAAGGTGGCAAGGCAGATGCCCCCAGGCATCAGCCGGCACCCCGACAGGTTAGGCTCTGGGGTTGAGTCCTGGTCTGACATGCCCCGCAAAGTCCAAGTTGATTTGGATCAGAGTTGTAAGTGCAGGGCTCAAGGCTTTAGGGTGTTCGGGCTCAGGGTGTCAGGCTTTGCTGGAAGAATCTGGCCATTTGTTTGCGCCTATGGTAGCCGGGAAGCATCTGTCTTTCAGACACACTGCGAAAGGGCCGCCATAGACTTTCTAGGGATTTGTATAAATGTACATGCCGGATTTTATGAACTTCAACTTTCTCGCGTGCTTTGAATCAGAGGAGAGCCTCCTCAACATTTGCAACAATCTCGTCGAGAGTCGAGCAGTGCTTGTACGTACTTGCTCTCGATGAACCCTAAACTACTAAAGCCGAAACCCCAAAAGCCTAAACCCAAAGTTAGAAAGCTGTATCGGTGGATACTCCGCTGTGGGCGCTATATCTCCGGATCTTGCTCTTGTTCTGTGCTGAGGCATGCAGCCGAAAACAACAAGCGCACAAGTTCTTCAACTAAGGCCTAAGGAATAGTCCATAAGCCTTGTATCTATGGGCCCTATAAACCCTAAAACCCTAAAAACAAATCTTCGAGCCTGTAATTGTCGTATATATGAACCCTCTCAAGGCACCCTAAGCCAAAAACTCTAAACCCTAAACCCAAAACCCTTAACCCCAAACCCGAAACCCAAAACACAAAAACCCTTAACCCTAAACCCTTATCCCTAAAAACAGAGGCCTTAATAATTAGAATAGGGCTTGGGGGGGGTATATTATACCATAATTGTAATAAGGAACCCCCAAAACCCTATTCAAATTATTCAGGCCCCCTCAATATGAACCAGTGAGACACGCGTCCACCAAGATGTTCGGCGGCTTCAGGTCTCGATGCCTGCGCTTGCTTTGGACCCGAGGCCGAGGCACTTTGGTGCACATTGACAAGTTCTTCTAGAAATAGACTATAGTATATGCACTAAATCTACTATAATATACCCGAATATACTCTAATACTACCGTTCTTCTTATAATCGACTCTAGTATACACTGAATGTACTATAGTGATATGTTTGAATATACAATAATGTTATAGTTTATTCTTATCAGGGCTTAGGGTCTAGGCTTGAGGGCTTATCTCGACTTAAAGGGTCATGAGAAGTGAATGTCTAGGGTCGAGTGTCGTAACTTCTGTGTCCTCCTTATTGGAAGAAGCATCTCTCTCAGCTTCCTGCTTCGAAGAAGTCTGGCAGTGTCAGAGTGCCAGCACCTCCACTCGGCCCAGTGTGGCCACTCCAGCCTGTCTTTCCCGTTCTTCGCACTCCACACACTATGAGTGCATTTGCCCGATCGCGCCAGCTGCTGCCCACGTGCATTGGTGCGCACATGCCACGGCGCGGCCCCATCAGCAGGTGGATCGAGGCCGGAGCACACTTTGCACGGGCCAGCCGTGTGGATTGTTCACATTGCGCATGGCAGAAGTTCGGTGAGGCCTCTGAAATGGTGTCCATTTAACGGGGTCCGAAAACTTAAATATGGCCCCAACTATTCTAAATGGCAATTCTTAGGCAAAGGTTTTGGGACTGGGCAAACATATGCGAGTACAGGTGGGAGGGCAAAGAAACATCCTTACCGCAAGCCCTCCCGATCACCCCAATGCGAAAAGTCCAGCTTAGACAGACACCTGCAATACCTAAACCTAAGGCCCAAGCCCTTACTTACGCAGGCTTGATTGGGGCACGCCTAGGCACGAAAACCGGAACCCTTTCTTGAGGAGTTTCTTTTTATCCTGGGACCTCTGAGGGCTAAAACTGCGAAGCCCTTTTTTCTTGAAGCGGGGCTCTGCAGCTATGGCTGCTCCTCCAACCCCTAAACCCTAAACCCCTAACCCCTTTTTTAAACTTTAAACCGGACTTGGTGACTGCCCGCATTACCCCAAACCCCTAAACTCCCTAAACCCCAAACCCCTGTTTGCCAAACCCTAAACCCCTACGTACACCCTAAACCCTGACAGCGATGCCTTAAAACCCCGAAACGGCTCAATCCCTTAGCAGGCCCCGGTCCCCGAAATGGTTTAGGGTGTTCTTTGGGTTAGGGTTGTTTTTGTTTTAGGGTTTTGGGGGTTTAAGGGTTTTTTTTGCTGGTTTAGGTTGAGGATTAGGGTTTAGGTTAGGGTTCTTGGGTGGTTTAAGGGTTCTTGTTGGTTTAGGGTTTCGGGCTTAGGATTTAGGGCTTAGGTTTAGGATTTTCTTTGGGTCAGGGTGTTTTTGGCCTAGGGGTTTAAGGGCTTTTTGTTGGTTTAGGGTTTAGGGTTTCGGGTTTAGGGTTTAAGGCTTTGGGTTTGGGATGTTCTTTGGGCTAGGGTGCTTTTGGTTTAGGGTTTTTGGGGTTTGGGGTTTTGTTCGGTTTAGGGTTTCGGGTGTGTTTTTTTTTGAGGGCTCCTTTCCGTCTGCACGCGGGCACGGCCTACGGAAGCCTACTACTACAGAGGCGAGCTAGGGTTTTGGATTTACGGCTTAAGGCTTAGGCCTTAGGGTTTAGACCTTCGGGTTTAGGGTTCAACCTCCAACTGCACACCCAAGATACACCACGAAACAGCTATGGAGGTGTGCAAGACCAGAGAGCAGCATGGACAGCCTTGGGCGTAGTGGGCTTCTGGCTTGAACGCTTCACCTACTTGTCCAGGGTATCATGGGGAACTGATGATTAATCTTTGGGATTATATAGGGATGATATAAGGGGGCGTGGGCTTCGAAGCTTCAGGAATTAGGGCTGCTGGCTGTGCGGCTTCGGGTAGAGACAAGGATCTGCAAGAGCCTAAGGCTAGGACTGCTGAGCTGGGTGCCTAAATGCCGATACCCTACACCAAGTACTAACAGCATAATGTAGGGCATTAATAATCAGAATAGGGTTTTGAATTAGATTATGCTATAAACAAAATATAAGGAACCCCAAACTAGTATAGGTAATTATTACAGCCCCTATATTTCTCTTCCCCCCAAACAGTTGCCTGACCCTTCTTTTGCTACTGGACTCTCAAGTCTAGCCAGACCACGGCCTGCAATCATCTTGATCAGTTGCCAGACCCTTTTTTGAACGCAGGCTCTGATCATCAGCTGGGAAAGTCGGCGACACACGTGCTCCGCACAACGTGCAGCGACTGAACTCTGGAAGCTGAAGTGCACGCGCAACAACAAACCCTAAACCCTTCCCTGTAAGACCCAGCAGAAGATTCCCTAAACCCCAAACCCTGAACCCTGAGCCCTAAACCCTAAACCCTAAACTCTAAGTCTTCATCCCTCAAACCCCAACTCAGGGTTTGGGGGATTAACAGGAGGAACCTATTGCGTAGTTCTCTAAATTAGGTCCCTTTGCCAGTCCCAAATACAGTACGGCACCCTTATAAAAGGACCCCCAACGGGCGTTCAGCGGTTTTGGGCTATTGAGGAGCGGAGCGTACACTCAATTGCGAGCCTAAATCCGAAGGCCACAAGGAACCAAAACGAACATCCCTAAACCCTGAAGCTTGCGTGCTTTTTGGAATCTATTCCCCAGAACGCCCTGTAAACCCTACGCCGTAAAACCCTGAAACCTGAAGCCACAATCCCGGCGAGGTGCAGAGTCTTGGTCTGCCCCTCCTCCATCGGCTTGTGCCGTTCCAACCTTGGGCCCGAATATGAACACTATTAGTGTTTAGGGTTTAGGGGTTTAGGGTTTTGGGTTGAGGGTTTGTGGTTCAGTTGCAGTGCGGGTTGTTCGTGTAAGGGTTTCTGCAATCAGAAGTACTCTGAAGGGAAGCTTTGTGCCTTCCAGACAAAGCCTAGCGGCTTCGGGTTTAGGGCTCCGGGGGCCAGTACATCAAGGAACGAATCGAACATAAACCTGCAAAAACCCTGGGGAGAATATCCACAGCCAAGCAAGAGCTGCAGAGTACGGGAAGACCCAGTGTACAACACACGATAAGCCCTAAACGCCAAGAAACCCTAAACCAAAACCCGAAACCCTAAAAAGCCCCCAAAATCACAGAGTCTCAAGGCTCGCAGTACTGGTTGGGGTTTAGGGTTTAGGGCAGTGCTGCACTTAAATCTGGAACGTGGTGTCTCTCAGCTACCCTGCCTAAAAAGGACAATGGTGGCTACGGCCCATGAAGCCAGGGCTTTAGGGCTTATAGGGGCTATGCAGATTTATGCTTTCAGAGGATGGGGCTCAAGGTTTGAGGGCCTCAGGGATTTCTGACCCCTATCATCCCTTCGAGTTGTTTGGAGCTTGTTCGGAACATCCGTAGGACCGTAGGACTTACCGCCGACGGGCTCAGACCGATTAATCCTTGCCTACTCGCGGTGCGTAGACCCTAGACCCCAGACCATGGTGTAATATAGGAGCCTTATTATTTTTGATAGGGTTTTGCGGCCCATTAAATTGTAACTATAATAAGGAACCTCCAAAATAGTATTGGTAATTATTTTGGCCCCTACATTATACGCAGGTCCAAGCCCCAAGCCCCTTCCCCGCAGGCCCTCCCTGCCAAGCTGAGATCCTAGCACGGTGGCCAAGTCCCACGACAGGAACGGGTAGATCCTAGAAGCGGATCGGGTTTGGCGTAGACGGTTCAGCACACATGATCTGATCTTATGCGTCACTGTTCTCCCTTCACTACAGTGCCGGGGAGGGCTGGCGGTGCTGCTGCTTCTGCTGCTGCTGCTGCGGCTGCTGGTGGGGTGCTGGCTCCTACTGCTAGTCGGGCACGACTGACTACGACTACTACTACTACTACTACTACTACTACTACTACTACTACCGCGACGAACATTACTGCTACCACTAGTACCATCTGCTGGCTAGTACCTACAACTACGAACAGTTACTAACAACAGCAAACTATTGGTAACAATTTCTTTCTTGTTGCGTGCGTGTGCGGGTGTTTACGCATGCGATGAAGGTGAGGAGAAGGACACACTGCTATCATGAGCCGGAGGAGGACGAGGAAGCCCGGAAAGCTCATTATAAGCATGGACGTGCCTAGTCGCATGCGCAACAACGAACATTAATTTTGTTCACACGCCAAATTACTGTTGAGCAGGCGGAAGGGTCCTGGATCAGGAAGAGGCCATCTCCATACTTGATGTCGCCTTGCGCCCTGAGCTCCAAATTGAGCATTGGGTTGAAGTTCACGGGGGCGCCCGGCACCGGAAAGATCTCAGCTGTCGACTCTTCCCGACTCAGGCACTTCTAGCTCTAGCAAGGAAAAATGTCTTCTCGGATCCGAGGGGCGACGATGAAGGGTCCCGCGCCCAGGCGTAACGAGCCAAAGGCACTCATCCCAATGGCAAACGCCGCCTGCGAAAGCATGAAAGAAATCGAAAGCGGTGGGTGTGTGGCGTGGCTTCGCTGGCGGCGCTTAGAGAGGCGCTTCCTCTTGCCGGGCTTGCCGGGCCTGGCGGTCGACGGATGGAGCCTGGAACTCCGCGGTGGCTTTGCCCGTGGTCTTGTCGAGCGTGACGGAGCCTGAGATGTCGAATCCCACCTCCGCACCCATCTCAACGGTGCCAGTTAGGACACCATTGACCTCGAGCTGGGCGACCATCTGCACCATGATGACGATGCAGAAAGCTTTGTAGCACATCACCTTCTTCTTGGGTTTCTTCGGAAAGCGCTTCTCGGCTGTGAACTTGCAGCTGCCCTGAGCCTTGATCATCCCATCCAAGGAGACACCGATCCCGCCTGAGATGGTGATCGTCGATTTTGGGCCGCTGGTGCTCATTTCAAAAGTCAAGGAATTTTGCACATGGCCCTCGATGGCCATGTCGAGACTTGTCTCGCAAGATCCGGCGGGAGCTGCCGACATCTTGTTCTTCAAACCACCTTTGGTCTTTTTGAAAGCTTGCTTGACCTCCGCCTTCTTCTCCTCGAAGATCTGACCGGGAAGCTGCAGCTTGCCGTTCTTCTGCTTTGGGCCGAAAAGCTCTCCTGGCTTCGCCTTGAAGCCGAAACCCATGCCAAGTTCTGCAGACTTGCCAATGACGCACTTCAAGACCAACTCACCGCCGTCGAACCTCACGGAGCTTCCGGAGGGGCAATCGCAGTGGCTGCCAATCAAGATCGGACACATCAGGCCGTTGTTGTCCAGGCAGTTCACGAACTTCTTGATTTGACTTGGGTAGGATGGGATGGCCGAAACGGGTCTGGGGCTGAGTAGCTGGGGCCAGGACAGGGGCACCATTTAGGCTCTGGTTTCGTTTGCGGCACAGATGATGTGTCGAGCATTCTTGCCTGAATCGCCCATCTGAAAGCATCCATGGGTTTATCGAGCTGATTGTACAAAGAGGCTTAAATCAGTTTTGGAACTGCTGCCTTCGAACAAGAGAACGGGGGCCTCCGAGTTGCAACTACGGTTAGATCATTCCCGCGCATTCGACACATATCTTAGTAGAATCCCATGGCTGTCTTCCCAATCCGCAAAGAGAGCCCTTGAACCAACAAAAACCCAACGGTCCCAACTTTTACGCGCCAAAGACTAGGAGGATCCCGTTTTTCAAGGAAGGGCCCAGCGACTCCCAGGTTTCTTTCGCGATTGCCATGGCGAGCGGGCCCAGCTTTTCCAGCTCTTGCACCGAATCTGCAGAAAGCAGAAAGCAGAAGGCGGTGGGTTAGGGCTTTAAGTTGGGAACAGATTCAATAAACGGGCTGCGTGCTGACTTTCCGGAAGCTTCCAAATTTGGCTATTTTTTGACCGCTGAAGCGGACCTAGGAAGGCGTGCCAGGGCAGGGAGAGCAAGAAAACTGTGAATTCGAGCTCTAGAAAGGGGACGAAGAGCCTCCCACCGCACGAGCTGCTGCTTCGAGGTCTTCGCCAATTTTTGTGCCAACTTTCTCTGCCATCTCTAATCCTGCAGGCTGTGGGGGTTTAGGCCTAGGCTCCAACAGGGGTTCAATCGGTTGAAGTCGGTTGAAGACAGGGGTGGCGAGGCTCGGTCATGGAGGGGAGCTCTGGGTGCAGCACTTACCAAACTGTTACATCCTGGAAGTTAAGTACACATACCCCTGGTGCAAGTTGTAGACTTGGCCCAGGTATTCCCAATTTGTGCAAACAACCGGTTTTTTCGCCAAAGATGCAGCCGGCAGTCTCCTCAGACACACCTGACGAAGATCAGCAAACGTAGGTACAGTAATGAGTAGTTCCTTGGGCCTTGCAGACATGCCACTCGAAAGGGAGATCCTTGCGCAGCCTAGCTGCTACTTCAGCACAAATCCTTAAGGCTCAATCGGGCTCTAATCTGTCCTTGCTCGGCGAGGCCCTGCGCATGCTGCAGGGCATCGTCCGCCAGATCAACGACACCCTGCTCAAGCGTTTTGCCGGCGTCCTGGAAGAGGTGTCGGGTATCTCCCCGAACTGAACGGCGCATGACGGGTGCGGATGCCAGTGACAGGTGCTTCTTTTGAAGGTTGCGGTTGTGAGTGGCTCTCGGAGGCAAATATGTCGCTTCTTCTAGGAGGATCTCACGTCATCGGCTTCGAAAGGCTTCACAGATGTCGATTCTTAGATCCCGGGCACCTTGATTCCGTTAGCCATGGTCTTGGCGGTTCTGCCCAGGTCGTCCGCCCACTGTTTAAATGGCAAAGAATCCATCTTTCTTTTTGCAGCTTCGATGACATGGTCCCCGACCTAAGTCGCAAAGGCGATCAGGACTTGCGAAGGGACGAAGGGACGAAGGGTTTCAGGGAAGATCCAGGTCTCCCACTCCGAAATGCCCCTGTGAGCCCAGGCACCACCATGGCGGCATTGCCGGCGGCCTCCCCAGCTTTCAAGCCGACCTTTGCCAGCGTCTTGCCAAGATCTTCGAACCCACCCGCTATTGCGTCGAAGACCTTCGCGGACACCACCGCGTCCAGGTCCTGATCCTGGGACCGATTCAGCCACTCCGCGCCGCGGGAGGAGCGAAGAATCAAAGCCGTGGAAAGTGACTCGGTGACGTTCTCCGACCCGAGATCGTCGAGATCCTCCTGTGTCAGCGCCGGGCTGCTGCGAACTCGGTATGCGAGACTCATGGCACACAGGCACGGTGAGGATGCATGGCATGCCCTGCCTGCGTGAACTTCACGGCCGTGACGGGATTGCAAAGGACCCTGGCAGCAAATGCAGCCCTGAAACGCCTGAAGCCTCATGTTTGGACCGCTCTGTGATGCAATTCTGAGCCCATCACCAGGTCACGGCCGAGGAAAGTAAAAAGCACGCCGATTGCTTCATTGCAAGTATTGCTACAGTATATGGAGGGCGACAGAGCTTGTCACAAAAATGGCTGATGCAGCGACACAGCCAGCAACACGTCTGGTCTCACATTCATTGCAACTGCACAGGAACCATCAAGAAGCAAATGTGGCACAGAAACACAATTCGACGGATCGTTTGAAGGACCCGACCCGTGCATACATGCAAGGTTTCTGGGCATCTGAACGTAGCGCATTTTTTGACTCCTGGTATCCTCAACCCAGCAAACCCCCGCATCCCGAAGCCCTTCAGCCTTGCTCACACCCCGACAGCAGATACCTTTGGTTTCAACGATGAAGACGCTCTAGATCTGAAGCCAAACAGAGCAAAACCCTTCAAAACCCGTCAAATCCACTCTGAACCCTGCGCGTATCTTTCATGGTCCAGCGCTCTGGTCCACTGCCTTCAACCCCAGTGGGCAGCGAGTTTAAGCTTGCACATCCAGCAGCCAGCCTAGCGATGGGTCAGGGCTCGAGTCAGGGATCTCTTGCGCTTTAGCTCTTCAAGGGAGACTTGAAAACATGGACCCCTTCCCTCCCCCCAAAAACAAAACAAAGGCGGGGAGCGGGATTCCTCCTTGGGCCGAGTCGCGTAGGATTTGCTCCGCATCCTTGGACTCCGCCGCCTTCTCAAGCTGCTCGTAGCTCTCCTGCTCGGGGTCTTAAAAACGGGGGGGGCTTCTACAGGATTTAGGGCTTTTTGGGTTTAGGGGGGCTTCTGAAGGATTTAGGGCTTGAAGGGTTTAGGGGGGCTTCTGAGGGCTTATTCGGGGTATATTCGGGATTACAGGGGCTCTGTAGAGGTTTGGGGCTCTAGGGGTGTATCGGGGCTCTCTAGGGTCTGCTCTCTTTACGGGGGCTTACAAAAAGGCTTTCTTTCCATGAGGGCATCGGGGATTTACGGGTTTTTGGTGCTTCTACAGCAAAAAGCTAAGGGCCTTGGGGTCTGCTCCCTTCAAGGGCACCAGGTCCTTACGGGTTTTGGGGTGTAGAAGATCTGGCGCTTTGGGGGTGTCGGGGCTTCGGGATTATGGGAGGAGGAGATCTCCGGCGGTTCTTCCATTCCGTCTACGGATCTACTACCGCGCAAGGGGCGGGGGCTTCGGGGTTCAGATCTTGGAGTGACGGTCGAAATCTGTGTCCGATGCAGCTCCCCAGGCTCTCAGACCGGTACTACGTGGCTCGGGTCACCGGGTCGGCTAGATGACTAGATGTCGCATTTAGAGCTTCCCGCACGCCGATATGGCAACCCCTCAATCAATCCTGAAGCCCACCGCCAACTCCATAGATGCATCTCTGCGAACCATCAAAAAATCAATTTGAGTAATAGGCCCTGTCAACTACATACGCCACTCCATCGATGCCCTTCAAGCAATCCTAACAGGCGCGGCTCCTGCGACAGTGTTGGTTCCAGTGCTCTGAGCACCGCATAGAGGTCTTCGGGTTCCTCGGCAGCTCGAGCTCTCCGGAGCGTCCGCGGCTTTAGGCTTAATTCGGGCCCTTGAGTCTTTCCGGTGTGGAAGATCCTCATGTGGGAGTTTCCAAAAACTAGGGGCACCTTATTTTGGGCTCCTTATAATAAGGATCCTACTACTTAGGGTACTATATTAGGGTCCCCTATTTTCGGAAACCCCCATGTGGCTACTTAAGATGTCAGGGAGTTGCACGATGCAGAAAAGCCTTGGCCATGCGGATCTCTTCAGCTGCCCAAGACCTGCTTGAAGCTCTGCCGGCCAACCAAATAATAGGATCCTTATTATAAGGACCCCCAAATAATGAGGTACCCACTATTTCGGCATAAGACACGACTGCTCGTTGGCAGATGCCGGTGTTGAGCTTTGGCATTGCGGTTGCTTTGGACTTTTGGCCTGTGGGCCTTGCTGGAGAGTCTGGTCGCTTGATCAGTGTGATTGTTCGGATCAAGAAGAAACACACACAAAGCAACATAAGGTTACTAGGTTACATCACACCAAGCTACATATTGCACTAAGGTAGTATACCATGTTCTTACCATGTACACCAAGCTACGCTACGTTGCATTACAGTAGTATACCATATATTCTTATCAGGTTAACCAGGGCGGGGCGAACATGTGGGGGCTTTACGGTGCTTTGAAGTTCGGGGGTTGTGGTAGGGGTGGGCTGTCTTCAGCCCGAGGGGGCAGCAGCATATGGGAGCTTCGGATGTAAGTTAGACCAAGGATCTACATTGTTCTTTCAGGCTACCAAAAATAGTTGGGGATAGGTACTGCTATCCAGGTATACAGCTATGAAATAACCTCAAGCAGCCATCTAAAGGATGATACGGTGGGAGGCTGAAATCATGGAACCATTCCCCTATCGAGCCTGAAACTTTCGGCCTTTCTTCCACATCTCCAAAACACCCACCTGCTTTGCGACGCTCTACATCTCGGATTCATCCCGTCAGGCCGGCTCTCGTTCTTCAAAATCCTTGTAGCAACGCTGGCAGGAACCTGTACAATGGCCCTCAAAGAGTCGTCTTGGTAATCCTTCGGGTAACCCTGTAAAGACCCTGTTGGTAAACCTAATCGAAACCCTTTAAGATGACCCGTATAGTACACCTTATCCCAAACGCGGTTCGTCTGCATGTCGATTCTGCGGCGGATTCATCCAACGCAACTCAGCTGCAAGGGCTCCGGTTTCTTGGAAGAGCCGCACCACAGCCTCCGCCTGTCGGTTTAGAGTTTGGAGGTTTAGGGAGGGGTTGATGCTCAAAAGTTAAGTTAAGAGTCCACGCTCACGGAAGGGTGTTGGGTTTGGAGTTCTCAGATTCACGTCAGCCGAGGCAAGCTTAACCTCGCAGGTAATGTAAGCGTTTACTTCATCTAATGATATGTGGCTAGGTATATATCCTGAGAGCCCATCATCAAAGCAGGCTACGGCAGGCCGCTTGATGCCTCAAATCCTCGGCCCCGCCTCCCCTGCCCTGCCTCCCCTGCCCTGAGGTGCTTTCGGAATGGGGGTTATGTAAGGCCCGAAAGTCCGAAGTTTTGTAACCCGAGCACTGGGACCGCTCCTTTGGGTCCAAGGGCTGCGAAGCACAGCTGCTCGGTGAGCAGCTTGGATCCTGAGTGGGAAAACTGTGTTTCGCAGAGCTTTCTTGGAGGAGGGAAAGGATTGGAGGAAGGCCCCAAATCCTGTCAGGCAAGATGAGCCGAGAGCCGGAGTCCAGAAACTTGAAACCTTGAGACCATCTGCTCCAGCCCTTGAGGCATTGTTTGGGGTCTTCGGAAGATACTTCTCGGAGTAGGGCCCTAGCTGTTTTCTTGGACCGAGTTGCTGAGATCTGGTCTGGTACGTCAGGAACTCCTGCGGCGGCGCAGTTGGGATGTACAGAATGACTGGGAATCTAATCGTTCGGGACTGGGCATCTCTGGCTGTGTGGCTATGCGCAAGAGAAACGGCGGACCGTGGTTAATTTGAACCTTCACATCTTCTAGCTGATGCAATCTCGATGCCGCGCATCAAAGGAAATATGTTTGTCTGTCAAAAGGGCTGAATAGTAGACTGCAGAGCATTCCATCCGAGTCTTTGGGGCTTCGACACCGCGTTCCTCTGCCAGGACATCGGATCCGGCACACTCCGTTCTGCCCACAAAAAACCCTGGACTCGCCTCCAAGACCCTTGCAGCCTGCTCTGATCAATAGACATGCCAAGTTAGCCCTAGGACAGGACAGGTGGGAGAGACGAAACCGAAAGGGGTCACCGCAGAGCGGCGCGGGGGAGGCGTGTCGTTTTGGGTGAAACCTCCTTGGACAGCGAAGGCTCAACTTTCGCAGGCTGCGACATGCACCGTCAGCCTGACGCCTCACAGCCCCGAAAGCCTCCAAACACACACGCCGAAGTTCAACGAAGAGCCCCAGAAAGGGGCCTCTTTGAAAGGCCGGGCTCGCGAGCACCTGTGCAAAAGCTGGGCTTTCGGGGAGCTTCATGGTCCTACAGTAGGAGTCTGATCCCACAATCCCCCACGAAATCTGACCTCTGAACTGCCAAACTCTCTTGAATGGGTCGTCATAGGGACGGAAAGGCCGGAAAGGATGAAGCGATGAAAAGCATGGCGAGCCTACCTTGTAGGCGCCAGCTGACATGTGACAAGGGACTCTTTTTGTGATCTCCTTCGCCTTGAGACCATACCATCTTTAGCTGCCGGCTCTCTAGGAGCAGCCCCTGCTGCTCGCAAGCGCATCCTTCTTTAGAACACTTTTCTGCTTAACTTCTTCCTCCGTCTTGTTGTCAAGGACTCCCTTGGTGGCATTTTGTGTGGTCTTACCCTCATGGCAGATCAGGTACCCTGCAAGGTGACAGCCTGGGACTACAGCTGCGGAAATAATCCATAAAAGAACCCGGGCCTCATGAGAAAATCAGAGAATCAGCAACCAGGACCACTCCGAGACACAACAACCTCGTACGGCACATCTGAAAGATTACCATACAAAAGCCAACCTACTTATGAGGATGATGTGCAAGCAACGTGAGCCCCGACAGCACCTGCTCGCACGGACCGGCAAAACGCCGCGCGTGGCTTCTTGGGAGCTGCCGGCACTTGCCAGTCTGAGGTGCGACTTCAGTGTTCTAATGTAGAGGATTGAATAGTTCCTCATATTATTCCTTAGGGTTCCTTGTTATACTTATTGCAAAAGATTCCTCAGAAAACCCGCGTTCTAATCATCAAGGGCCCTTTCTTCAACGGTTGTTGGAGGTTCAAGCTCCAGGGTCGACGCTCGCTCCCCTGAGGATTGAACTTCACCACACACTCTTAGAGTCTTAGAGTCTTAGAGGGTTGAACCGTGGGTGCGTAAATGGGTGCCACTTCGACACACCGTGTGGCCCTTTCTACGAAGTGTGGTTGTTTGCACTTCTGAATCTTGCAGCTCTGGTGGCCCTCAACATGCGCGTGCTGTTGACATGAGAACAAGTAACGTTCAGGAGATTGTCAGTGGGATCGGCTGGCATGTGCAAATATCCAAGTCATGTAGCTTCACGAGTCTGGCGCAGGTTTCGATGCTTGAGTTCCAACCCCGCTACATACAACATGCAATACCATCACGCTGCACGGAGAAACTCGCGCTCCTCTACCACCAGCTTCTGCAGCAGTGGCAGAACCGACATTGCCTCGCCCAGCTCCTCTTCCAAGACACACTGCCGATACGAGCATCTCAAACACCGACAACAGCCTACGGCCATCATTCAGTCTTGAAAATCCACATCGGATTTGCGGCAGAGGAGCTTCGTCTTGAAACCTTTCGTTTTACTTGCTTCTTTTTGTCGTGCGGAGAGGCTCCAGTCCAGGGCAGAAAAGGAAGCAACAACGGCACCTGCAGCGAGGCCACGGTGAGTCGGTGGCAGCCGCGAAAGCGCAACGTCGTGCGTTGCATCCTGGGCATCGTCTATGGGCAAAGGTCCCCTTGGAACATTGCTAACAGTTCTAAAGTGCTTGTATAGCAGGAATCCTGAGGTGCCAAGTGCTGCTTCGACCCGCCATTACAGCCGACACCCAGCATAATCCCTCATGTGACGCTCAATCTGCGGGACCCTGACATTGTAGGTCCTTCATAGTGCGGCCCCCACTCATTAATTGGCCTGGAAAGACCATCAGCCAATCGTCAACAGCAACCCTAGCAAACAACAACAACAAACAAAGCACCCTCCTTTTTCATGACGAGCTCAGCCTTCCAGCTTGAATCCTCAAGCCCTAAGCCATTATAGGCCCGACACCCGTCGAATCCTTAAACCGTAAACCCCCAAACCCTTCAACCCTAAACCCCCATACACCAGCTCCCTTTAAGGAACCCTTAAAAGGCCCCCATACACGACGAGTAGATCCCTTAAAGGAACCCTCAAAAGCCCCTGCTAGTAAGCCCTGAAGATTTTGGCGGCCCCAGGAGCTCTGCAAGGCAGCGAAGGCCCTGGCAAAGCCCGGCCATTCCTCGGGAAATCTCTGGGGCCCTTTAGGGCCGAATCTACGGGCCTTAATAGTTAGAAGTAGGGTTCCTTTAGGGGTTCCTTTAAGGGGTTCTAGAGGGGTTTGATGTCGGGGCCTTGATAATGAAAGCAGGGTTTTGGGGCCCAGTCATACTATATTTATAATAAGGAACCCCCAAAATAGTATTGGTACTTGTTTAGGCCCTAGATTATAGGGATTATGGGGGGTTGCATGGGGTTCTCTGGGCGTTAGGGTTCAGGGGTTCAGGGATTCAGTGGTGTATAGGGGGTTAGGGTTTCGGTTTTAGGGGTTCCGGTTTTCGGGATTTGATTTAAAGGCTGCGGGTTTCAGGGGTTGGGGGTTTATGGGGTTTCGACTCTCACACTCGCGCAAGGCAGGCAAGGCTCCACACGATCCCAGATTGATCAAGCAGCAACCGAGCGACGACATTCCGATTTATGGGGTTTGGGTTCAAGGGGTTTAAGTAGGGTTTCTTGCGGTTTGGGAGTTTAAGGGTCTATATTAGAGTCTATATGCTCTTGTTTTGGATTGGGTCCAGAACTTACGGCGGTTTGGGAAGCAACTGAAACTCTCTCTTCCATGATTTCCTACTTCCGGCTCTATATGTACAGTCACGGTTCACGGGCGGTGGACAAAACCTGACGGGCGTGCTCTTCAAAAACGCCTCGTCCAAACCCCGAAGTACAATTAGCACTGTAAGATCCCTAGGTAGAAGCCTTGTATAATTGAAGCTTGCAGGATGGATAGGGGCCGGTTCAACCTTTCGGAGCCGTCTGAACACCTAACTATCTAGAACCGGCATGTTCCGATCCTGATACTACCCCCTGTATCGCAGCGAATGGTTGCAGTTTGCAGGCTTGGCAAGAGGTCCTTGGCCTCTAGTGTGGCATAAGGTTACTTGCCAGGGATACCTACAGAATGCAGTACCAAGATTAGAGAAAACCGACTCTCCTTACGTACATGCAGGGGCACTCCGACAAGATACCAGCTTTGTGGATCCCCCCGGAGCCTCACCCTGCAAGCCTCACCCAAGCCCTCAGTCCATGAACCCCGCACAACTGCCCAAAACTTTGATGGTAGGAGTATTGCTTACGTTTAACTACTCAAGAAAACTGGGCGCCTGCGTCTGTGATGGCTGTACCAGAAAAGCAGAGAATGGATTCCTAGGTTCGATGACGCGCTGTGCCGAGGAAGTATCGTCGGGCTACGACTGACAGGCCGAAATCAGGACTTCGTTTTGAGAGTTTGTGGATGCAGCATTCCTGTCTGGTGGCCTGGGCATGGGGTTTTCTTCGGCTATGTGACTGTGACAATCCGCACGTCCAAAGCTTCAACCAAGATTTGCACGTGAGACCCTTGAGGCTGTGTGGATTGTCATCGTGACATGCTAGCACTGTTATGACTGTTCTCGTTGCTGTCATGAGGACTGCCATGACTGCCATGACTACGACTTCTATGATCTGCACAATCCAGAAAGGGTTCAGGGGGCTCGGGCTCTTTGGCATTGCTTGGCGAGGGAAGTTCGACGTGGTAATCATGTAGTAATGTCGTACGCAGCGTTCAAGGGGATGCTGAAGGCCCAAACCCCCTGATAATCCTTGTGACGGACCCCCTTGCCCCTGCAACTTTCTGCACCTTTTCGGAAGTGGACCGATGACATACATGAGACGTCACTCCAAATTCCCGGAAGACGGTTGGGGTTTTGGGGTGTAGGGCTTAAGGCTTAAACTTAAGGCTTAACCCCAAAACCCTAAACACCCGTTGTTTCTGCGGTCGGAGTGACGTGTAGGGCCATCCCAGAAAGGCTCTTCCCCAGCGAGCTTGCAGCCGCATCGTCCACCAAGGGACCTCACAATACTACTATCTCTACGATAAACTTCCATCATATTATATAATGATTATTTATTCTTTAAATTATTGTGTATATAATGTTGTCTTATATATCTAATATATCACGATATGATACAACAATATGATCCAAATAGCTCATAATCTTACATAGTATTATGAGCATCCACAAAGCTGCGAGTTTGGACACAACTTGTTGGGAAAGGAGTGCGGTCTCGGTTCACACGAGCAGGCTTGGGGTGCTCCCGGGATTGTAGCCAAGGGGAAGCCAAGACTCATGTTCCACAGCCGTCCTGCGACTCCCAACTTTTGTGAGAAGCCCTGATTTAACCTCGCGGCAGGAACCCCCCAAACACCCCACCACCGGTTTCGAACGGCTGGCTGCAACAGCATGACGAATCGATCACCTTCAACTAAGACCCGGGCAACACAGGGAGCCGTCATGGCAATGGCTGTATGCATCGGGGTCGAGCTGAAACTAAGGACAACCATAACCCACAAACAGGAGCACAGAAGTCCATCTTCTGGTGCTCGGGCAGAAAAAGCTCGGCTTTGGGGCACTGAGAGACTGAGAGGCCTTCTTTGAACCGTTTGGACCCCTGCTCCCGAGCCAGACGGTGAACCGGAGCTGAAAGCCATAGCTCTTGAACACTTGAATACAGTACAGAAGCCCGTGATGCAAGTTACTACAGAAGCCCGCAATGCAAGGATTGATTTCTTCTGCGGAACAAGATCTTCATGATCTACAGTTACATTGCCCCTTGAAGGCCTGTAAGCCTTGAGTTTTTGAGGGCGGTTTTCAGGGCTTAAGTACCAACACTACTGCCCAAGGGCAGTCGGTGAAGTAGAGCTTGAGGATCTGCAGCTGCGCCAGCCTTTAGAAGCGAGGCGAGGGTTGCCTTTGTTACCGAGATCTCCTGCTTGAACCAAGCTAAAGGCTAAAGTGCACACTCACAAACTCACCGGATGTGGAGATCCAACTGTGGGTTGCAGCTTGTGATTCGCCACATGAAAGGTCACGACAGCCGTTTAGTAAAAGCATCCTTCCAATTCCTCTATACTCCTGCGGGCCGATAGTTCAACCCACTAGCTTCAACAACGAAGTCGACCCATGCCCCCAGCCTCTTCCCCCCAGTCTCCTGACACAGGTGAACCTTGGGGCCTCCTCCGCAATGAAGTAGTAGTAGCATTTTAAAAAGGCGTAATGATTCCTCCGCTAGCCGGCGTAAGGAATTCGTCACCTTCACGCACTCCGCTACTCTGCAAGAGTCTGTAACATGATGTAAGGCCCGGAAGCTCAAAACCGTCGACCGGGGGGTGTAGAGGTGGCCATCATCTTCAGCATAAAACTAAGCGTCAATATCAAGAAACGCTTACCAATGCTGTTGATTTGATCACTGCAAGATGTCCCAGTGGCTGCTCCAGCGTCTGGGTCAGCTGTTCGGCAGCTTTGGCAGATTGGCGAGTCTGCGCCAAGTTCCTGGGAGCTGGGGATTCAAGATTGCAGCGATTGAAGTTGTGGAGCTTCTGCTGCTCTACTCTACACAGGACAGCCTGAACCTCAAACTTGAACTCGGAAACCTGTGCCCCGAAGACTGAATCAAGTACAACCTCCTGGGCCCAGGGTCAGATGAAGCTTCCGCAGTGACGGCATCGTTCTCAGGGCTGCGGTCAGCGGAGCGAGGACACTGCAGCTCACCTCAGGATAGGGTTCTAAAGAGGGCTTAGGGTTGGGTGAGATCCCGCGTGATTCTTTCGGGGTCCGTCTTGCTGCCGGGTCTGCTGCCGAGCCCGGCCTCTGTCTCTTACAGGGAACTCAGATCAAACGGCAACTCAGCACAATGCCCAAAGCACCTAAAGCCCACACACACTTGCAAGAGGCGTAAATTCTTGACTCCTTGCTGGCGCCTGAAACTGCGCAAATCTACTCAAGATCAAGGAGGGCCTAGTTACTGAAAAACGACGGATGGTTTGATGATCAAGCACCGCAATGAGCGTCCGAGAGCTGCTCACATGCCTGTCGCTGGGTACAGCGCGGCGAGTGGACACGACAAGCCGAGCGCATGCCAAGCTTGCACTCGGAAAGCATGTTGGGTAGTTCGGCGGCCGGCAGTCTGATGGTGTGTGAGTCGGTGTAGCTGTCTCCGGCAAGATCCGAATCCTCACCTTCGGCCTCTGCGGCTGGGCACTGCCAACATGGGGCGGCATCTAAAGATCTTTCAGCAAAGCGAGCGCGAAGTGGCAGCTTCGTTTCCTATCCTGCCTGGTCCTCTCCAGAGTCAGAGGCCTGTGAGAGCGCCGGGGGGATGGTCGGCATCGTTGGTGGCAAAGACGGCGCATCTTCCTTTGGCATGACGTACACAGCAAAGTCCAAAGCGTACTGTCCAGCCCCCATGTGGTCATCCGCAACAGGTTGCACTGCTTTAAGGATGTCCGCGACAGTCGTTTCTGCCGTGATCGCACGATACATCAGGCAGCTGCCATCAACAACAGTCTCGACTGAAAGCTCCTAGCGGTCAGCACTCTTGGCTTTTGCCGATAACCTCGACGCACCAGGAAGATTCCCAAGCTTGCCGAAGCTCTCCATCAGGGTATCGATCAGCTCCTCCGTGGCTGCGGACGTGGCGTCCTCAGAGACCTCCAGGGTCTTCAAGAGACTCTCTACCTTCTCCTTGCTCATCTGGCCCAACGTCTCCCGGATGAGCTCCTCCGAAGCAGGCGCCGAGGCCTCTGCCTCGAGAAAGCTCACCACAGAGCCTGACTGAACCACCACCGGCTTCGTGACACCTTCTGCCGTCTTCACGAGGAGCAGTGCCATCCCCCGCGAATCGGCTCTTGGAAGATGCCCCGAGGCTTGAACTGAAGATCGAGGGTGCAGGACGAATCTACGGATCCTCTACCTCCGGTCATGATTTGGAGTGCCATTCCGGCAACTTCTCTGCAATCGGTGAGGCGCATGGGGCATGTCTCAGATGCTGGAAGTGTTGGGAGATGACACAAGCCCTTTAAAGCCCACACCCTGAAGTTTATGTTTACATCCCATTGCTCCTCAACCTGAACCCCCAAACACCCCCCCAAAAAACCCAAACAAGCGTCTCATTTCTTTCCTGAGTCTGGGGCCTTGAGGAGGCCGCGGAGGTTGATGTCCAGCTCGCGCATCTCCTCCAGGCCTTGCCTGGGCGAAGAGGAACTGCCGAAGGCTCTTGGAGCGGATCGGAATTCATCGGGTTTCGGGCAGTTTCGGGCAGTGGGGGGCAGTTTGGGGTTCGCAAGGGCTTTGGATGTTCAGGAAACCTTTTGGAAGCTCCAAGCTTTCTTTCCACATGTCTGGCCTTGATGTTCAGCTGATTTGATGCTGCTTGCCCCAACACGAGGGCATGAGGGTCACGCGAAAGTATTCGTAGAAGAGTCTCTCTCCTCTCCTCGAAGAGCGCTTTTCCAACACTCAAGCAGATTAGCAGTGTTTCCATCGCTCGACCTTTGCTGAAACCGAAACCTGAAACCCGAAACCCCTACGCAACAACAGCTGTGCCCTCATCCGGAAGCCAGAACCTCTTGTGAACGCAGGAGATGTTGCGCATGAACCAACACCCTGTTAAGTACCAGGCACGGCCAGCAGCTGGCAATGATGATGTGGCGGCTGGACGTATTGTAGCTAACCCATGCTAACACCAGCCTCCTCACGACATGTCTGCCAGTACTTCAAGACTAAGATAACCTAGGTTCGCAAGACTTTAAGCTCGAACGTCCCCGAACCCCTTAGCATGGTTCGCTCGATCCGAAGTGTGCTCTGATTGCAGTAGTGGCCCGCTTTGAATGCGATCGCATGTACAGCGAGACTTCAGACTTGCCTCTAATCCCAAACCCAACGAAATCAAGAACCGAAACTTGCAGGCCGGCGCGCATGGCGGTGAAGATCTCATGGATGGAGGCGTCGGTCAAACGAACCTATGTGGTCATCTTCCAAGAAGCACCCCCAAACGAATCTGAAACACCGACCACAACATTCCTTCTTCTCGTTGTGTGCCATTGCGGGCATCGCCCCATTCCAACACACCTTGGAGCAGCTTGGTCCTGGCGCTCAGGGAGCCTAGATTCCTACGTCCCCCCCACAGCAGAAACTACTTCAACAGGTCCAGGAGACGCACATGTAGAAGTCCAGGAAGAGAGCCTGACGTCTTCCAGGGTGACTCGTTGGGTCAAGGCGTCGAGAGCCTACCGTTTCGGAAACGAAACGGATGCGTGTTGATGTCAATGCATCCAGTACCCACATCATGAGGCGGAAGCAAGCAAGCTCAAGAATGGTCTGAAACCGATTGGCTTCAACACAGTCAGGTGCTTGAGTAGTGATGGGGAAAGCGATGATTTTTGCATGCGAGTTAGATTCTAGGTCCCAGGTCCTAGATAGACCCGCTGGATTTTCAGGCAGTTACTAAGCGGATGGTAGCGGCTGTAAGCTGGAAAGAACCTCGTGCTTCGCAACCACCTTCGCATGTACAGGGCCCTCAGGGGTGGGGGATTCTTGAGATAGTCTATAGTGTGCACTCGAACCGATACAACCACAAGCCGCGGCAACAAAGATTGATCCTAGACACCAACGCCGTCAGCGTGGTGTTATGCCCAGGACACTCTTCCACATCTCTGCAGTACTTAGCCACACACACACACACGTGCACAACATTTTGGATTCTTACGCCTGACCTCCACGGTTCGGAGAGGTCGCGACCTTTGCAACACAGCAAAACCCAGACTTCACAGCACAGGCCGCAAAAACACACCCGGAGTCTAGAAGTCCTAAGCCATACAAGCCTTCTGAAACCTCTAAAATAGTAGGACGAATCTTGAAGAAACTCCCGAAACCCATACTCCTGAAGCCAATCAAATCCTACAGAAGCCTCATACAGGACCCTCAACAGGAATACCCCACGCCCTGAATTTTAACACCTCCAAACCCTCAAGCTCTCTAAACCCCTGAACCCTCCTGAACCCCAAAATATGCCACAACTTGGCCCAAGCCACCCTGCCACTATGTATTGCTCACTTTCTACTTTAATATATACATATATATATATATATATAAATACATACCCTAAAGCATGTGATATTATATAGTTATGATACCACAACTATATACGAACTATAATATATAAAAATATAGTATGTACTATAAACCCTAAACCCTAAACCCTAAACCCATAATATTTCCTTTGCTACTACAACTTGGCCCAAGGGACCCGGAGCTCCCCCAGGCGCCGAATGGCACCGGCCAGCTCCAACACCGAGGCGTCGCTGAGGCCGTGGCCTCGGTACGTACTTTAGGGTTTAGGGTTTAGGGTTTGGGGCTTATAGGGTTTAGGGCTTATTAGGGTTTTAGGGTTTATTAGGGTCTTAGGGTTTAGGGTTTAGGGCTTATAGGGTTTAGGGGGCTTATTAGGTTTTAGGGCTTAGGGCTTATAGGGTTTAGGGTTTTAGGGTTTAGGGTTTAGGGTTACGTACATACATAACATATATGTGTGCATTATGTATAGAATGTAGGGGCCTAAATAATTACCGAGACTATTTTTGGGGGTTCCTTATCATAACTAATAGTATGAGGGGCCCCAAAACCCTATTGCGCATGGCATGTTCTGATGTGAGAGGGGATGATGTGGTACGGCAGGACGCCAGAAACTACGATGCTTTACACATTGAATATTGTATGGTATTACCGATGACCATGGTTAGGTTCACTGGTACATTAAACTATACGATCTTTTCCAGGAATGGCTCCGCTTCCTGGTTTTCCTCCATAGCAGGGATCCCAAGGTCGGTCGGCTTTTGGGATGTCTGGGGCTTGAAGTCTACCTCAGCGCTCAGGCTTTGCAAACCTAGGAATGTCTCAGAATCTATGGAGGATTTGGCTTTGAGGCTTTGGGGGCTGAGGACGGCATGTCTGACACCAGTGGGTTGCAGACCATTTACCTGGCTCAAGAGTTAGCCCCCGGCAGGATCGAAGATCCAATCGCAGGAGGTCGGTCAAATTCGGTGGCAACGCTCCTCAGGTCTCGGTGCTTCCAAAGGTCGTGGAAGCAGCAGCGTTGAGGCAGAGGGCTTATGCCACAAGTGCATGCTTTAGCAAACATCAGGGGGCTGTGAAGGCGCACGGAGGAATTCTCCTGGCGCCGGGCGCTGGGGACGTGGGACGTACAAATTTGGCGACCCGCAGCACTAACGACCACCGAACAGAGACGCATGTCTATCTTCGCGCATCGTCTATGCGTGCATGGGCGATGTGTTCGAAAGTGGAAAATAACTATTGGGAGACTCCCTGGCAGCCTTGATCGCAACATTGCTGCGCAGCTGGCGAAGGAGTAGCCACTGGTCTTCAAACAAACATCGAATGAAAAGCTCGGATAACTTTCTGTCTACACGCCCACAAGACTCAAGCCTGAGCAAAGCCCAGATAACAAAAGCTGAAGGTCTATGGCCTACGTGTGACGAGCTGGCCCAGCAAGGCTCGAACTAAGCCAAGGCGCGGGCGATGCATAGCAAGTCCGGGTCCTTCAGAAGCATGGGCCAATGAGGCAATGTAGGGGCCTTAATGATGGGATCCTTTATAGTATCGTTATAATGAGGAACCCTAAGGAATAACATAGGTAATTGTTTCGGCTTCTATGTTCAGACCTCGAGAAGTGGAGGCAAGCGGGGTTGCTGCTGTGATTCCGTGGTCTAGAACAGCAACAGCGGCAACCCTAGAACTGGAAAAACCATCGCTTTCTCGTCCCTCTTCCCTCTGTGTCTCTTGATCTATCTTTCTTTCTTTCGCCAGGGCTATGATGCAGGGGAGCAAGCCCCATCTCTCTCCCTCTCTCCTCCCTCCACCGGATGCGCTTACACGCCGGCAAAGAACCACCTCAGACACTCGGGGCTTTCCCACTTTGCTTCGGGCCCTGGGAATACAAGCCGTGACGGCTCCTTTAAAGGGCTTCTCCCAGGCCTTCCTTCAGGGCTGCAAGGACTAAGACGAAGACTTGGCAGGCATTAAGCTGATAGTGTTGGAACGCGTTTGCCTGTAACCCGAAGCTGCCTGCATTCACCCCGAAGGGGACACGGCTGTCCTTGAACATGAGGCTGTTGGCAAATGAAAGGTGGACACTTCCTCGGCCAATGATCAGGCTGGGCTGAAGGACGTGTTTTGAGGTCTATGTGCAGTCCATCCGAAGCAGCTTGAAGCTGACTGTGAGCACATTGACAGTCTTGGGGGGTTTTGGGCTGCGGACTACAAGGTTTTGGAGCACGGAAGCAAAGAAGGCGCCTCTTTCGACGGAGCACCGTGTGCAACAGGAAAACAAATCGCAAAGCAGCATGACTCATAATGGAGTCGCAATGATACCAGAAGACCCTTTAAGACGAAGTACAAAGCTGAAAAGGACGCCAACAATCATCGTCATGCACCGTAGCATACAACTTGGCATGCAACCTCAGCTCTGGGCCGAAACTCCGAAGTTAACTCCAAAAAACCTAAAAGCGACAAAGAAGGTCCAAGCTGCTCCGCGAGGAGTCCTCTTGCAATGCCTGACCTTAAATTTTTTAAATAGCATCAGACTCATGGACTCGCAGATTTGCAAGGCTTCACTATTTAGTGTCGCTGCGGCAAAGGCGGCAAAGTCTTCATAAACGAGTTCTCTTTAACCCTCATGCAGAAGCCCCAAGACGATGTGCCTGTCGAGGGCTTCACGTGGCTTTTGGCTGCAGGTCTGGGGTACTCATGGGCTGTTAAATTTGAGACACCAAGGCCGGCAGACCAGTGGGTCCGTGAGCAGACATGACATTGGTCAGAGTCTCTTCCGCAGGGTTTACACAGGAGGCTTCATCCATGCGGAAAACCGGATGGGGAAGCTGCTAACAACCCCGGCACTTCTCAAACCTCCAACACGTGAACCGTTGAACCTAGGCCGCGTGGCAGATGGCCGGCATCAGCCGCTTGAGGTCTTTGGACACTACCTCCGCCAAAAACACTCGGACTTAGGGCTAAGCTGGAGTTGGGTTCGAGGCTCGAATGCCATGCCAGCCCATGACTGCGGAAAGCCTACAGAACCGAGCATTCCCAGCCTGGCTCACGCTCGCCAGTGCGAAGATGGAGCGCAGCGACCGGTTCACTCTTTGATAGCTCTCCTTCCGCTCCTCCTGCAAGGCATTTCGGCTGGGCTTCTCGTTCCCATTGATAATCAATCCGAAAAGTTCGTTGAACAAACCAGCGGCCAAAACTAGGGTAAGCCTCCCTTTCGAGCTCCCAATGTTTCTGGGCCTTGAGCAGGCTATAGGTCTATGGAGACTAGACGAGACTATAGTCCAAATGCCGAAGCTCCTGACCCCGTGAAACCCGATGTCAATTACATCCCTCAGCCCCAAACCCTCAACCCCGAATATGTCCTTAACCCCCGAAGCACAAGACTTGCAACCGCCAGAAAGCAGCGCTCCGGCAGTGGCTCTGGAAGATTCGTGTCGAGCTCCTCCTCCGGAAGGCCACCAATGCCTGGGATGCTTTCGATTTCTTGCCTGGGTCTACGCCACATAATGCTTTACAAGACACAACTCTTGGTAAGACACGAGAGGGCCGGCTTTGTGGAGCACTAAGTCTTACGATTCAGGTGATGCGGGCAGCGGGAGGTGGAGTTGGTTTCGTGGCGCCTGCCATGGTAACATAAGGCCTTCGGGCTTTTTTTTGGTGGTGGGGTCAAAGCGCGAGGCTCGGCTCCTGAGGCCGAAATCCGAAAATCGAAAGTTTTTGACCCAGGCTTAGCTGTCCAGACCGAAATGTGCACCTAATCCCTGCATCCTTCTTCAGTCATTCCAGCTCAACCTCCGTTTCGATGCGACCTCTGCAAACCCCAACACCTTAACTGACTTCAGACTGCTCGAATCAGATTAAAGTTCGAAAGTCCACCCCGAAGTCTACCCCAATGTGCGCCCAAAGGCTGTTGAGGATGCGGAGCTTGTCCACCTCGGGGCACTTCAAACCACATGCAGCTCTTCCACTTTTACATCCTGAAGAACAGCAGCTGAACACGCAGTGGGAGTCAGGAGAGAGAGAGAGAGAGAGAGAAAACATAGAGAAACAGCTGTATCATCGGTCCGAGAATGGTGCGAATGACGCTGCCCCAGGAAGCATCTGTTGAATGTGACAAACAATATCGTAACTATCCAGCGATGGTCGTAGTAGCAGTAGTAGTGGCTAGTGGCTAGTGGCAACAATGCGTTGGAAACACCCTGCCTCCCTGGAGGCACTAGCAGCGACGATGTCGATCTCCAGTGCTCGCTGGATTAGCCTGAGAATCCGTATCTTCGATGCCATAAACTGCGAAAATGCGCGGAGGAATTGACCAGGCTACTGGGACTCTTTTTTGTCATCCACCGGTTGAACAGCAGAAATACAGGCGTACTAATGACAATCTGCCATCATAACCACTGATGAGTTTTAGTTTTCTAAAAGACCTTCCACCAGGCCGCCCAACCACACGGACAAAAAAGCATCCAAACATCGTGGGTTTTCAAGGCTGAGAAAAAGGTTTGGGGGTTTGGTATGGTGTATTCCAAAGGCGCATGGGGTCAAGGGACTCCACGGAGATGGTTTGCTGGTAGGGGAAACTACCGAAATTGTAATAGTAGCCATGCATTCCTAAGCCTGTCTGCGTGACACCTCTGCATACCCGAAGCCTTGAAGGACGCCCCGGAACACACAGAGTAGAAACTGCAATAACTCCGTTGCACTTCGAGGACGAATGCACCACCGTGGACGACATGGCTTGCTGACATCCTGCAGCCCACAGAACATATGAGGCCCAAGGCGATGATAGCACCTAGCAGATAAAACAACCAGAAACACGAATAAATTCAAGTACACCGGGCTGACGATGCTGATAGGAATGGCAGAAGGAGCTTAGCCAAGTACATACCATTTTCTTGTCTACAAAAGTCTCAGAAGGAGCTGCGGTAAGCTCAAGAGATCATCATGCGGACGACTGCATAAGCGCAGCTAGATCTGCATGGTTTCCTTACTTACATAGCTGTGTGTACATGTATATATCAGATACATATGCATATGGATTTTTCAGATATGCATCTGCACATTGGTGTACTCGTCATGAAGTTACTTGCGGATTGTGCACAAGTCAAAACCTGGCGGCTCAATGGGGAAGGTCTCTTCTCGCTTGGCTTTTGCCTCGGCCACAAGGGAAAGCCCATCTTCTTCGAAGGCACAGGTTGCTAAGGCACGACGGCTAACAACTAATGGTTTCGAGGACTTTGAGACTGTACTCCGACTGCTGCTGAACATTTATTGCAAGGCGATGTTTGTGAACGACTGCAAAACTCCCTGTCTGACAGGTAGACAGGCGAAAGGTTTGGGCTTGAAGGCCTTGGGGCTCGACTTGAGTGAAATGAAATAATAAGGAAGTGACGGATGGGACCTGGAATCCCCCTGTCGTGCCCACCTCGCCTCGAAGTTCAGGTGTCGAAACGTGCTTCCCGGTATCATTCCGAAAGGGTCTTTCGATGTTGCGCCTAGTAACAACCCGGAAGCAATGCAACCGAGGCTCGCGGCCCTCGAAACGACAAGTCCACACACACACACACACGCACAAACACAACTCGCCTCAAATTCCTGGATTCCGACATTCCGGCACTGTCTTGATGGATCCCCGAAGTTTTGCCGAGCATCCTTGCCACCAGCCCCGGCGCAAACGCAGTGCCTCAGCACCAGATCTTACAGTCAGAATGCACATGATAACAGGAACTTCTACTACCTCTGCTAGAAAACTCTTAGTACATGCGGCTGAGCCAACTTTATCCATTATCTATTGCTCTTGTGGCGAGTGCTGGAGACACCGAATGAGAAGGACTTCGAGAGGTGGCACTGTACTGAATGCCACAAGAACGTTAATCATGAAAGCAGAGTTTCGAAGTACTGTTGTGGCGGTGACCATAAGGGGATACTATGGCCGCTTATTTTGGAGCAAGGCAAACGCTGAGGGAGCTTCCGAGCACTGCGTAGTTATCGTGGACGCAGGGCTCATCTTATAAAATCGGTAGGGGCCAACGAAACTTCCATAACCAAATAGCTTTGGCCTTGACCAATACACCGAATCTTCACAGACTAGAACGAAGTAGTTTGACTTAAGCTCCTGGGCTCTAGGAGCAATGCTCAACCATGAGCGTAAGGTTGGACGAGGTACCGGTTGATCGGTTTGGGATTTGGGCTGGTTGAGGGCTCCCCTCTTGCTGGTTGAGTCATCATGCTTCCAAGTTCAAAACGTCAACAAGCGGCGCAAACCAGGCAGTTCAACCACGTTGGACTCTCCGGAATAACATGCACCAACACCCAATGAACAGCAGAAGAAGGCCATATGACCGCAATGGCACTGCCGACTAGAAGACAAACTTCTGAACCACAGGAACTCTTAACAACCTTTTTGTAGAAAGCCCGTAGCCGCTGAATCGCCAAGGCTCTCGTTCTTCAGCTCACTCGGCACCATCCCATCCGTCAGGAGCTCAGCGGCGCCCTGACCTTGCGACTGACGGCCGTTTCCATTTCAACTTACCAACTGTTCTACTTCGAGGTTTGGAGCCAGCAGCAGCTTAGTGTGTAAGAAGGACGAGTAGAAAAAATGAAGCATGGCTCGAGGCACTTGAAGGCAAACCAACCAATCCTTCGAGCCCCAAGACTCCTGCACGATATGCCTGAGCCAAGCCTGTGAACCCGAAAGCCAAGCCTCCTGCAAGGCCTGGTGGACACCCAAAGCCCTGGCCCCAAAACTCCTAAAACCTGAAATTCCAATTCCAAAGACCAAAATATTTGACACCCAAAATCCACACACCAAAGGCCCTTTAAGGCACAGCTGGTCTGAAAAGACCGGCGGCTAACCGTGGCAATGTCCAGCAAGAATCGACCCTGGGGCGCCACCAGGTCCTGAACCGACTTGCTGGGGTTTATCAGGCTCACGAGAGGTTAGGGCTTAAGGGTTTAAGGTTGCAGGGCTTAGGGCGTATGGGGTTTAGGGCTAGGTCTGAAGGACTTGGTGCTTTGTTGAGCAAGATCATGCCAAAGTACTGACGGCTTTGTTGAGTGCGTTTCAGGATGTGGGGCTTGTAAGGGCTTTGGTTTGCGACTATGGTCCTGCGGGATGTCGGACGTTTGGTGTTGAATAGGGCCACTTCTTCTTGATCCGGCAATCATTTCGGTGAAACCCTTAAGGATCAGACTAAGCATCGCGGCTTTAGGGCCTTTTCGATCGGGGTTTCAGCCAGTCAAAGAAGAACACAGATCCCTGGCCCCTAACCCTCTAAACTGATTCTGATATAAATTGATCCCTAAACCCTAAACCCTATTGCTCTGGTCCGTCAGGGCCATGGCAAGCTCAAAGCAGCACCAAACGCGGTCGAAGGGCGTGGCAAGCGGGTCCTGGCGGCCGCAAGCGCAGCGGGCTTAAAGTTCAACCCCAAACGCCAAAGTCTAACTACTTTTGAGCTTAGTGTTTCGTAGAAGGTCTTAAAACGGTGCAGAAAGAGCCAGACCCAGGCATGAAACATCCCACCCCGTTCTAACAGAAACCCACAGTCTTAATCTTGAGGCTTCTCGGCGCAATGTCCACCAAGAACAAACGAAACGAACACGCACAAGCTTAGACAAAGAACACCATCAACCTTCAACCTGCAAGGCAACCAAAATGCAGCGTATCATCGCAAAACCCATCGACATCGACCTCTGCAGCCTGAAGCCCAGGTGAAACCTGAAGCCCGAAAGGCCACAAAGCACTTTGCAAAGCAACGAACTTACTCTTCTACGTGAATAAATGAATATGTGTATATCTTTATAGATGTATACATATTTATTTATACATATATGCATATTGTATATATGTTATACCTTTATCTACACATACGATGATGTTGTAGTCTACATAAGTCCCAAGTCCAGCACCAGCAGGACGCCGCCGCAGAGTTGCATTGCACGGAAGAAGGAGGTCTCCCGGGGGTTAAAACGGAGGTCCTCGGGAAGGAACGGCAAAGGGCCCTGGACAAAACGTTCCAGTGACAGATTTGTTGGACGTCTGCTGGTGGGTGTCTTTTGTGGAATCGGTTCTTCTTCATCTCGGTTTGTGCAAACCGTCAAACCCAGGAGAAAGATCACCCCAAACCTTCAAATCTTGCGTTGACAGCAAAGCCCCGGAAAGTGATTGCGTGCTTGACCCCATCGCGCAGAACCTTTCGTTCACCCCTTACCCGACACTGCCAAACCTCAATTCCGAAACGTGGGATCTGAGCAAAGCGGGTTGAAACCAGCAGCGGCACAAAGCTTGGACAACTCACAAGGTGAAAATTGCTCATCACACAGGGGACATGGGATGTTGCATGCTCGAAACAACTATGGAGCGCGTTGCTGTGTTGGAGATTTCATTGGATGTGGTAACACATGGTCAAGTTTGTTTGTCCACAGTAGGGGTCGAATCGCTATGGGCATCCTGACGAATTCACGTGCTGAAAAACAGAACCGTAGCACTCCTTGCATCAGTGTCTGTGCATCTCTCGCATGCTTCAGAACACATTCAGGCCAGAAAGAATGCGGTAAGCACAAGGCAAGAAGGTTCCCAAAAGGAGCAATCAGGAGCAATCACGTGCAATATGAACACAAGCTTTTGTAGCACTTCTTCGTTTCCACACCTAAACTGAGCCGATGCATCAGCATCCACAACAAGGCTTGGGCCAGTTCCACCCCTTAAAGCATCACTTACCGCAGAATTGATGCGGTTCAGGCATTATGTTCATGTCGAACAGATGCCTGTGCTGAACAGCATACAAACACACAAACATACACAAGCCATGTGTTCACGTTGCCTCTTGTACTCGAGGGAAAGTTTCGGCAAGGAACGCTCTTATGCGTGAGTTCTTTTGCCCAAGCCGAGACGGTGCTTGACTTGCTCCTCTATCAAACTTCGCTGCATTGCATCAAGTACCAATTGCATGAACTTGCTGGGCTTTGCAACGAGCCGAAACTAATGACAATCTTGGGCGTGGCCAAATCTCGACGTATATGTGTATATTGTCCATAAAGCCTCTTGGAAGGGTTGCAGCACGTTCAAGCCGTGTTGTGATTTGCTTGTTGGTTTGTGCCTTGGAGGCTGTGAAAATGCGAGTCTCCACCTGAAGTCATAGTTGCTCACAACCTATCGCAACATTGCTTCCAATTGAAGTTCAGGGTCATGCTGCACTCGTCTGTTCAGTTTTTGGTTCGCCCTGCCCCCCCCCCACCCTCTCAAGAATACGGCACAGGTCAGGCCTTTGAAACAAGCTTGGGCAACTCAGTTTGTTGCTCGAAAGCTTGGAGGGTGCGATCACCCAAAACCTCAAGTCCTGCACGTACTGCAAGTAAACGAAAGTATGCAGCCGTGCCAACCCTTAATTCACCCCTAAGTGGCGGGCTGAAGCAAACAACGGCAAAAAACTTGGAAAGCTCACAAGTTAAACTAGTTCTGCCAGTGGGTGACACATAGTCAATTTTGTTTGTCCACGGTAGGGGTCGAATCGCTATGGGCATCCTGACGAATTCATGTGCTGAAAAACAGAACCGTAGCACTCCCTGCATCACTGTCTGTGCATCTCTCGCATGCTTCAGAACACATCCAAACCAGAAAGAATCCGGTAAGCACAAGGCAAGAAGGTTCCCAAAAGGAGCAATCAGGAGCAATCACGTGCAATATGAACACAAGCTTTTGTAGCACTTCTTCGTTTCCACACCTAAACTGAGCCGATGCATCAGCATCCACAACAAGGCTTGGGCCAGTTCCACCCCTTAAAGCATCACTTAGCGCAGAATTGATGCGGTTCAGGCATTATGTTCATGTCGAACAGATGCCTGTGCTGAACAGCATACAAACACACAAACATACACAAGCCATGTGTTCACGTTGCCTCTTGTCTTATGCGTGAGTTCTTTTGCCCAAGCCGAGACGGTGCTTGACTTGCTCCTCTATCAATCTTGGCTGCATTGCTTCATGAATTTGCTGGGCTTTGCAACGAGCCGAAACTAATGACAATCTTGCTGTAGCTTCAACATGGCATGGCCAAATCTCGACTTGTATGTGCACTGTCCATTAAACCTGTTGGAAGGGTTGCAGCACGTTCAAGCTGTGTTGTCATTTGCTTGTTGGTTCTAATTGAAGATCAGGGTCACGCTGCACTCGTCTGTTCAGTTTTTGGTCCGCCCTGCCCCCCCCCCCCTCCTCAAGAATACGACACAGGTCAGGCCTTTTAAACAAGCTTGGACAACTCAGTTTTCTGCTCAGAAGAATACTTGGGTGCGGGCCGGGTATACTCCGTCCCGATTGGACCAACTCACGTTCTCCAAAAAAATCGCTTGCCCCTCCATGTCGTTTTCATTGTACCCACGTGCGTCACGGAGCACGAGCACGGACTGGTCCCACCCTTGCCTGGACGCATTTTGATGTATATCCCTGTTAGCTTCATTTGCAGTTTTTCGTTTCGAGGTATCTCTGCAGCCGTGGCACGTTTCCCAGCTCGTGCTGGTTGTTGGCATAGGCACAAACCCAGTAGGCAACCTGCTCAGTGCAGCCCATGTAGAAGTGTTCTTCGAAGCCAGCTGGGGCCACCCATATACTGCTTACATGCCTCTTGCGCCATCTAACCGTGTCACAAAACCCATGTTGCGCGCAAGCGCTCCTGTACTGGTGTGATGCTCATCGAAGCCAAGGATGCAGCACTCTACAATCTGCTTTGCCACGTCCCTTGCAAGACTCATCGAATCCGCACGGTACAGCACTCTCATGTGCAAACCCTGAACTCTACCCCCAGGCCAGCCTCTTCTTCCAGCTGTCGGACTGTGGCGTGGCCACGCAAGCAGGTCAGGAAGTCTTGCACAGGCTCTTGCCTCCGTTAGTTCTGCAGGCTTGCGCTCTTTGCTGGAGACACTGGTGACAGCTGAACCGATCATCCTTGTATTTTGCGCTTTAAACACCGCCTGGGTGTAGGCCCACACGACACTAGCTAAGAAATGAAGACATGCCTGTGCAGGAAGAACGCTGAGTGATGTAGCTGACTTGGGAACAAGCTAGTGCCGCGGAGCCTGAAGGTGCCAAGATTTCGAAGTTTCAACATCGTCCAGGTTGACACGTTCGAAGGACCGGCTGATCTCGAATCACTCTCCGGGCTCCAGGTTCTCTCTCACTCTCTGCCGCGGCATCGTAATGGTCCCACTACGTGAGGCAGAGTGACACCCACCACATTGGCGCTTGAAGCGGTTGAGGTGTGTGTGTGTGTAGGGGTTCATGCGGTGTTTTGCTGTTCTTGGCTGCCAAGTGACCAGGCATGGGACACAAACCAGTGGGGCTTCTGCGCCTGACGGTGTCGAGAACTGTTCACACGAGGCAAAGGCCACTTGTACTAAGTGACTCCGAGTGTCGACTGCATGCACACAACAGCCAACTCACCGATAACGGGATGCTTTGGGCCCTTTGGGCAGCTTAGGAGATTTCAACTGTAGTAAGGCAACGTGGCAGTTCGGACAGAAACGATCCAGCCAGTCAGCCAGTCATAATTCTATCAGAATCCAAAAGCCTGGCTCTCAGACTCCTGCCTCTCTTGCTGTTTAAGCTTAGAGGCTGAGGTCTGGGACCTAGTCGACGTGAGCAGCAGCTACCACCCCACTGCCAACGCCACCTGCCTTACAAGCACAGACCCAAAGCCCCCACACGCCCAAAGGTTCCCTCGGAGACACGGAATTTGCGATGCTTCTCCTGCGCCTTAGGCTTTGGCTACAACAAACTTGCCAGGCTCTATTGGCGGCAATCTGAGAGACCATCACCCGATGGGTTCGTCCAACTGCGGGAGGCCTTGCCCCGAAACCCTAGACCGCCTAGACATAGGGGACCCTAATATAGCACCCTAAATAGTAGGATCCTTATCATAAGGACCCCAAAATAAGGTAGTTACAAATCGGGGCCTTGCTTGTTAAAGCCTTCGTGCTCTGAGGCGCTGAGGCGGCTTAGGCCGTCAGCGTCGCCGGACCCAAAGTTTCTAACCGGAGCAATCTCTTCCATACCCTCCGAAAGTGCTCCCTAAGCATCAAGTTTGGTACTAGAGAGGAAGCTGCGCTGCTCACCCATCATGCCCACTCGAGCCCGGCTTCAGAACATCCTATAATGCTGCAGCGATCGCTGGGAACTCTGATGGCCACAGTGGGCATCTCAAAACTGGAAGTTCGGCGTCGACTTGGAAATCGCCAGCTCCTCGTCGTTCCTTCGTTTCGTGATTCTCGTGAAGGTTGGGGCTCTGGAGCATGTGCGGAGCTCGGGTTCATGGCTTCGGAAATTCAGCATCACGGGAGGCGGCAAAAGATGAAATGCATCCCTAGATCACCACTCAAACCCTCTTGAAGCCACTGGACTGAGTAGGAGCTCCGAGAAGTTTGGGTAGCAACGGAATCGTGAAACATTCCTGTAGGAACAAGGCTGCAAGCGTTGAGGCCTGGCCCTCACAGCTCTGCAACACCGTTTACTCTTGTCGTCTGCATCCCAACTTCAACTTTCAGACTCCCGAGGCCGCAGTGAGAGCAGGAAGAAAGTTGAAGGCCACTTTAGGGCTTAAGGGTGACATGGGTTTAGTGCCAGGGCTTACAGGCCACCAGGCTCATGACTCGTGATCCTGTTTTTGGGACGGAGCTCAGAGACCCTCCTAAGACCTTCCCCACCATATTATGCAAAAACCAGCACTACTAGAATAAAGGGGAGACACACACACAGACACACAGACACGGAAAGGGAACAAGACTTTGATTACCTCCCATGTCGTCATAGGTTCATCTCTGCATCGATGGATGCAAAAAGCTGGGTGGAAAGATAACGCTCCTCGGCCGCACAAACAGGGGTTCATAGCTTCCTTATGTTAGGGTTCTGGCATAGCAGACTTCAGGGCTTTAGTTGTGAGGGCCTGGGACGAGAATTCAAGGCTTCAGGCTCAGCTGAGTGTCCTCGGATCAAAGGCTTCATGAGCTTAGGCTTCGGATTCGGGAGCCGGTCGCAGATACGGTGCTTCCTTACAACTCCGGCCGGCCCATCGTAACTCACAACTCCCCCAAAATCTTGCATCGCTACAACTGCCCACTTTCGTACGGGCATCAATCATCAGAACAGGGTCTTCGGTGCTCGGCACTCGCCCTCGGACCCTCCAGGCAAGGCATACGTCCAGACTGTCTGATGAAGGGGGTATAGTATAATACAGCATAATCGTCAGACTGCGACATGTAATGGGTAGGACAAGTGTCACTGTATTGGGCGTTCCGAATCGAGGCGTGCTCCTCACCCCCATTCGCTGGAAACCCCTGTGGCGTGGTCCTTTGATGCTGACTTAGAGGTGCCGAAAACATTGACAGCTGTGAGGATGGCACCGCGAGCGCCCACGATCCCTGACTGGTGCCATTGCTCTGTGACGCGCGACACAGCTAGGAAGCTCACAAACGACGCATCCATTCACAAATTAGGCTCACCTGTCTACACAGCTAGCAATCCGCGCATATACGACGGAGCATCAACTTGATCTGGTACATGCCAACAGAACATACCATACCATGTCATGCCATTGCCCTCTTTGAATTGCGTTGCATGTCCTTACATACATGCGGCGCAATCGCCCCCTCGTGCTCAAGCCCGAGACCCCAAAGATGAGCTGTCCCAGGTTCATGGAGGCGCCGCCGGAGATGCCGGTCAAGATTCCCTGCGTCTTTGCCAAGGCCTGGACTAGGCAGGGATAGGGTCTGTCAGTCTATCATCTGCAGTACGAGGCTTTTGCAAGGGGGCTTACGGAGTGTTTAGGAAGATTGTTTGGGAGTTTGCTGTTTAGGTCTCAAGGCTTAGGGTTTAGACGTGCAAAGCTTCGGTTGCGCAGGATTCTGCAGAGCTTGCCTGTGCTTTTTGCTTGGTGTCTTTAGCACGTTGAAGGACAGGTTTAGGGCTGCGGAGGGTCATACAAGATGCCATATGTGGTCCTGGTACATGCACCAATGCCAAGCAGATTTTTTTCATAATATCACCGTGACCAATGCTCATGCAGAGTGTATGGGACCCAACACGTTTGCCGCACAGAAAAGGAATTCGGAATATCTAAGTTCAAGGACTGGGCCTTTGACCGTAGGAAGGTGCCGGTCTCGGGGTATGCTTAGAAGTCATCCACATGCCCGCATAGATACATCCGCAGGAACTCAAGATCTGCGTAGAAGTTCTCCACTTGCCCTCTTTGTGGAAACTCTCAGAGGGCACTTGAACGAAAAGAGTGTGTGACGCATGCATCTTTGGGCCTGGGACATGTCGATGGCTGCGTCACTCGGCACAGGGATGTACTCATCGTAGCCGGTCTCCTGAAATGAGCCCGCAACCCTCAAAAGCTCGTGCACACTGCTCCCTGACATTCGTCCTACATCCTGAACCCTCATAATGTACTTGTCCAGAACTAAGAGCTAAGCGGTAGCCCAAAAAAGTTAAAGGTTACCCACTCTACAACTAAGAAACCCTAATCCTTCAACCCTTACGCCGCTGGCTTAACCCTGAACCCTACCCCTGAGCTCTGTGTCTCTGAATCTGAAGACACTCCAAATAAGACACCCTCCAAACTCCGAGTGTGGAGAGTTTAGGTTTGCCTGGAAAGTCTCCTGAAGCCCCTTCGCTGCCATCTGTGGAATGAAGTCGGGAGTCCAACCTGCATTCTAGGGTTTTGAGTTCAAGGCTTCGGTTCTAAGTTTCGGGTTCCTGAGTTGTTGCCAGTATCGAAGCCTTGAGGAAATATCAGACTGAGGACATCCATGGCCCAGGGAAAGGTTTAGGTCAGACATCTAGAAATGAAGAACTGAAGCTTTGCAGAATCAGGTTTCGGGTCTAGGAACACAGGCTTCAGGGTCGTTTTTGTTGCTGTTGACATGCGTGTTGAGATTTCAGCCATCCGGACGAGAATATGGCTACAACATGCAGCTACCCCGTTTGAGTCCAAGGACAGGAGCCCAGACAAACAAACCTTATTGAAAGAGCCTCCAGCATCCCACGTTCAGGCCCACCCCTACTGTGTCCTAAAGAAGCATCTGTAAAGGACATTCATGAAAGACAAGACCTCTTTACCTAGCATAAGTTTGCGACGACAGAGCCTCATGAGTACTGTTGCGAGTCTCTAAGAGCCCCCAGTACTCGATAAACGCATTCACAATTTGGCCTGCGTCCTCCACCCACACAGGCTCTAAAATCAAGACCCGGGAGGCTGCATCGCGTGGCTCGCGCAGGCCTTGGATGGGATGGAACTGAAACGCAGGGTGGCTGACGATAGACCCGTCCGGATTCTGCTCGGTCTTGATGCCAGACGCAACCTGTGCTGGTCTCATTGTGAAAAGGGTTGAGTTCGGACACTTTGCTCGGAGAGTTTGGTCCCAAGGGGAGTGCCACCTGTTCCTATGCGGTGTTTCGATCACCACACCTCACCTCAGTATCAAAACCACTTGCATTGAGACTAACATGCTGACTGCTCTCGGGTTTGGCCGGAAAGCTGCCGGATATCAGGGTTGAGCCGCACAGAACCCTACAAAGCACCCAGCAGCGGCCCAAGAATGCAATGAGAAAGCCTCCAACATCAAACACATCAAAGTCGAAGAGCAAAAGCCAGAATTTGCTTGACCATCTTAAACTTCGCGATGAGTATGACTGAATGCAGCCTTAATTACATGCACCACTTCCTAGACGCTGGGAAAGTTCGGTCCAAGATAGCTGAGCCAGAAGAGCAGACCTCGGAAACCGCCAGAAACAAATCTTAACCTATGAGACCCAAACCCGAGAAAGTCTCTTAGAAACCCCTTCTAAGCCCCAGAGCCCCTAAACCCTAAACC